ATGTAGCATGTAAATTTTGGCATGCACTGCAAGGTTCTGGAGTCATCAAAATCATGATAAATTTGGCCCAGTTTTGATAAAGTAACAACCACTGTACACGGAAAGATGTATGGGACTACACAAATGGTGTCTGGGCTAGTACTTGATGATTTTCTTATCTCTCTATGCTCATTACTCAGCCAGTAAACATTGTCTTCCAAAATTGTTTGGCACATGACCTTTATTTTAAATCTTGAACATTCAGTGTAAGTTTTGTTTGATTCTGTGAGAATTCATTTTCTTTTTTTACCAGAACTCAAGTTTATCTTTAATCTTCATATTGGAAGAAGCTTAAACAACTTGCTGTTAGTATTTTGAGTGATTTTGCGTGCTTCCCTTTATCCACTTAACAGCACACAATCTGATGCTCGTTGATCAATAAAATCCCATCCGACATGGATCGATCATCTAGATTTTAAAATACATTGCATGAAAATTTTCAATTCATCTTGATTGCTCCAAAATAAAAATTTTAAAAAATCGCTGAACATACATCTTGGAGGACAATCATGAGGTTTTATAGCAACCAAAAACTATGTTTGATGGATGTGAATTCTAAACGGTGCACCCACACTCGCATTTGGAATGGATTATAGCATTCACACTGCCACACTCACCCTCATCACGTCTTGAACAACTTTGGAATTAAAACCGTCAGAAATAATAGATGTGAACAAACCACACAAAAAAATGACAGAATCAACTACATACCAAATCTAAGGGCTTTACCTGAGTTTAAAGATAATGTACACAGAATGTGATGTTTTATATTAAAAGAGAGTGGGAACACAAAGAACAAGACTAGATGAAGTGAAAGGAGAGAAAAAATGGAAGTTGAAGGGCGGGGCAACTTGGGCACTGTATGAAGTGATAGATAGATAGTGAGGGAAGACGTATTTGTTCTAAGGTGCTAGATATATATACAGCAAATGAGCACAGACAATGGCATAGTCAGTAATAATAATAATAAATGTTTGTTTGACAAAAGATGCTGAAATCCCATTACCTCGTAAAAGAAGGAGTGGCAGTGTATCGATTGCGTGAAATGATTCAAAGAAATAAATAAAAAAACACGAGACATTAGTTTTGTCAATTCAGAGAAACATAAATAAAGGTAATTTACATCACAGCCATCAATTGAATAATCACGAGATATAATCAGATACTTAGTAGGCAAGACAGGAAAAACACATTCCACTTTTCGACAAACACTTGGACAAAACGAGGAAGTTAAATAGAAACACAAGTTAGAGGAATATATATATGTACGTAGTAAATGCAGTGACATGGAACTGAAGGCGTGGCTGAGAAACAATGAAACAGTCAATGCAAACACAACACATATCAAGCAAAGCAATAGCAGCAATTCTGTCTCATGAGACGAAAAATTGCAGAATTGCAAAAAGGTGACTTAAAAAGGCAGTTAATTCATAATCCCTACATTACAAACCTATACAAAATTTACAGTTCCTTCAATATGTTTAGCATATCTACTCATAAAATGTATTTCCTTGCTAAATAAATATATATATCCTCAACTTTCTATACATCAACATAAAACATCCTTTGATCTACAGGTACTTCAAATCTGCATTAATTTTTTTGTAAGAATTGTCAACTTGCATGTGTTAATTCACTGTTTTTTCTTCAATCGACACATATTTTGGTGATATATATGTTCCGTACCATCTCAAAACCACCAATAAGTCTCCAAGATTACCTTTTAAATGATATACATGGCAATTTCAGCAGATATAAGCAAAGCATGTGATTAAAATTATCAGTGGTAACTAATTTGAACCATAAGATTAATCTAGAAATTGGCACAAACCCTCCTAAACTATTTAACAATTTCAGGGAAAAAAATTAGCAAGGTGATAAACATATGTACTGATTAAATAATGAGATGTTCATTTCATCGCCCACTAGCTCACCGCCCCCTTGTAAATTGCATTTCAAATTATTTCATATACACAATTATGAGGAAAGACTTTTTTTTGTAATATAATATATTATCATAAATTAGCATTTTCCGGTATCTGTTCCGTAGCTAAGCTTGTGACTTATTGGTGCTTTCGAGATGCAGTCTCATATAAACAAGTGTATAGTATGCTTGTTTCTGTGTATATGTGTACGTGAAACTGACTATGAATAATACCGTAATACAGCTGCTACTTTCAAAGTCACTTATCTACATCAAAGTCACTTTAATATGTAATTATGTATACTACATGTGCAATGAAAGTGGGATTATGACATTTATCTTACATACATATGGTTCAATAAATGATTTTTCAAGCATTAAAAAAAAAAATTGAAACATAATGACCAAAAAAAACTTTGATTTTTAAGATATTGCATTTAAGGCAGAATTTCATCTGACTCTAATTCAAAATGGCTTTCTAGCACAATCATTTGTTTATTAAACAGACATAACAAGTATTCATGACATCATTTTGAACATTTTGAACATTACAAACTTGCAGGGTTGAAGGGAAGGGGTATACTTGTGTACTTGGTGGTGGTGAAACAAGAATAGCATTCTTATTCATAGACACATGTATCGTTCATCTTTGGGGTTGGGTAGCATGTTGGAAACATTGACAGTTTTCTAAACTAAACTTTATCTACACATGAGATTCAAATGACCAGACATTTTGGTATTCTTTGAAGTACACTTAAGGGATAAAACATGGGGGGGGGGGTATCTCACTTGGGCATATACGACAAGGGACATGTAATATGTACAAGATTATATATAATATTGCAGTGTTGACAACCATATTGTGTAAGTGAAGCTAAACGGTACGGATGATAATTGCAGTTACAGTGTAAAAAGGTTTTCATATTTCTTTTATCAATTTCTCCATGCAATCCTTTGAATGTTTATTGAATTGAAAATGAGGGTACGTAAATTTACTTTTGAAAATTTTATATTAGAGAAATTCACAAATCTTTCAATTATTATTTGCCAAATTTGGCTTCTAAAACATGACATTTATACAAACATGCTTGTTTCTGTCTCAGTTTCTTCTTCACTTGAGGAATCGAGTTTGATACATGGTCGATTCCAAGCGTTACGGAATGAAATTTCCAGATAGTTTTCTATTTTTTATAAAGAATATCATAGACATTGTAATAAAAGTCTACAAATTAATGATATGATATACTAACTAATATGAAGTACTTTCACAACATTTTGGTTTCCTACCAACTCTTCATCAAATATATGAAATATTCAATTTTTATTTACTTCTTAACGGTATGACATAGAAGGTCCAATTCTGATCATTCTGTAACAAAGTTTTTTTTAATACAATATTTCATAAATTCGATGAATGGTTGGTAGAAAACTCAATTGTTGCGAAAGTACCTCATATTTTATACATTATACCATTTATTAATGTACATTTTTATTAAAATGTCTTATATTCTTTTCTTAAAAATTCTGTAACGCTTGGAATTGACCTTGTACTGTTGAGGCCTGTTTCATAAAACTTGGTATCTATAACAACAGCTAAATTTCTATGACAAATGTGCTCTCAGCCAATCAGATGCCATGATTCCAGTAGCTTATAGCAGTAGCGTGTAACTAGTTATTGATATCAAGTTTTATGAAACAGGGCCCAGGTGTATGTAACATTGTCTTAATGTATAAGATCTGCTGTGTGATATCAGGCCATCTTTGTGTTTGATCAAAATCACTTAACCAATTGACTACCGGAACCGGGTGGTCCCTGGTTATGGCAATGGCAATGCGAGAAATTCAAGAGTCAATAGGTTAGACTTGCTCATTTCATTCCCTAATTTTTCTGCTTGACTTTCAAGGTTTCCATTTTGAATTTCTAAGTGATGAAAAAGCCCTAGTTAACAGATTTGGGGCATTTTTTTAAAACTCATCATCCACTCTTCTTCCAATACGTTTTTTACAGAGCAAAATTGGGTTAGCCAATTATGCAATTTTATACAGAATTTGATTCTTCTGGCATAGATGGCTTGCAGGAGATTTTGCTTCTCAACATTACATAAAACCTTTAATTTTCGTCATGTGCTCGTGATATTTGATTGATTTTTCAAAGAATGACCCGATAGTTTAATGCTGCTACTGTGCACTGTGGTGTGCTATGTATAGGACAAGCAGTCGGTGTGACATGGTGTTATCTGCATTTGAGTTTATTTTACAAACAACTGATACGATTTTGGGAATATTTGTTATCCCTTTTGAAAGGTACTATGTCCCATTTGCAGGCCAACAAAATTGAAAAGGTTAAATTCCAATGGCATTTAAAAGATAATACTAATTTAGAACTTCCCTAGAAAAGTTGGGGCTTGAAAATGTCTTCAAGTGGGAAAATAACGACTATTAGTTGTCAAATCGACTTGAGAGCTATAGAGCCAGTAAGTAATAGTCTGATTTTCAGACCATTGTACCGAATGGTCGTATGTTTTTATGCTGCGCAAAGATTCAATCAGTTTAATTTTGGCCATTACAAGAAGTGGGGTATTTATGCAGACAAATGTTTATGTGTCTTTACAGCTCATTTTATGCATGTCATTACCAAAGAAAAAAAAATTCAGTCACTCCCACAGTGTCTGACAGTGTCTGACAGTGAAGTTTCGAAAGTAAACGGGTTTCCTTGGATAATTTGAATATTAGGACACTGCCAAAGTTTAAATTTCACAGATAGGACATACGTGACATGTTCATAATTCCTGCAAAGTTCTACAGAATTTGATGTTGGCTGCAAATAGGACATAGTACCTTTAAATAAGGCACTGATATATTATTCAGCTGTTTATACTAGTTTAGGTAAGGTTTGTAGTTGTGAACAATCATATTTTTGTGTCTAATATAAATTAAATGGTTGTGTAGAATACATGGAATGCAACATATAGGACTGACTTGGGGTATCGGGGCTAGTATTTCTAAGGATTGAACATTTGGAAACCTTCAAACTTACTTGCCCCCTCATCTGATCATGGAAAAGCGAAAAAGAAACATCATTAATCATATGTTCAAAGAGTTTTATGCTATCTATGTTTAAAATTATTGGTACAACAACTTTACTAACAAAACACTGAAGTCTAAAGTTAAAATAACACCAACGTCAGAAGCTAGTAACAAAAATGACTAATGTCAGAAATCACTTACAAAACATGTATGTTAGAAAACTAAAACAGAAAACATTTGATTAAATTGAGATATACAGTAAACAACTAAATAATTCATACCCTCAACAAGTTTTTATTATTTTTTAAGTATGTAAAAAATTGATTCGTCCCGATTTAGGTTTCTTGATAATGTGACATATTAAAGCTCACATCTAAAAGTGTTCAACAAAGGCCCTAATTCAACCGGTCAACCTTCCATTCTTGATTTAATAAAATGAATATTTAAATTTTTTTTTAAATCAAATTTACAAAAGGGTATGAATAATTTAGTTGTAAACTGTATTTCTACATACATGTATCATACAAATTGAGCCTTATTAAAATGTAAGTCGTATTGCCCAATATTTACTTATGCCTCTGTGGCTCTCAATTAATGACATTGAAGACAATTCTTAGTATTGAAACAGACATACACATAATTTAACAATTTATCTACAATTAAGCACACGCAAAGGTTTAAAATGTTCAAGCAGAGCTGCCAACCTTGTGCAACCAAAAAAAGGAACCATGATGGCAAAAAAAGGGATTCATCAAAACGAAACTTACAACCACACACGGCACACTTCCAATGCAGAAATGCCCATTCCTCATGCTGTTATTTTTATATTAGAACCTATAGTTTATTTACAAGTAGGTAGTTTTTTGTTGTTGTTTATTATCAGTGTTTCACTTTTTTGGAGAGTATTTAAGCCTTTCACTTTTTTTCTTTCTTTCTTTTTCGTTTATTATTTGTAAATTGTACTCTTCATAAGTCTCTATTGAAGTTTTCTATTGAAGCAGTGATCAAAATTTTAGGGCAGTAGGTTAACGTGAGGTATGTGCAAAAAAAAATGAATAATAAAAAAAAACATATTTTATGAAGAAAATCGTTCTACCGTAATTTTGAGAGAAAAAATGAATAATTCCGGGAAAATGTAATGGTTGGCAGCTCTGTTCAAGTAATAAAGCCCTCAGAAGGGTCCTATGTTCTTTAATTATCCCAACTCTATGACGAGATAAACTGTCTGTCAAATCCACAGTATAGATTGAACTGATTATATCATATATCGTCTGTTTAAAGCCAAAAGGGCGTTAACTCTGTGTTCAAGTATTTGAGTTACTGCCCTTCTGTCTCCAAACAGACGATATGCCAATCTAATTTATGTTTGAATTTAAACATATTTAAAAACTCTTCTGTCAGCCGATACATCTTAACATGTATGATACCTGCTCTGCCTTTTAATAGCAACCTTCTGACGCACATGAAATCTTGGAAGAAAATATATATGCATCTTTTGGAGCATAGTAGCGTAAAGCTTTATAGAGGCAATACGTAGAGAACAAAAGAGGTCATGAGTATCAGTAGTATAGTACCACATGCATTATTATGAAATCAATATACCCTAATATGGCATGGAAAGATATACAACAGACGGAATATATATGAATATATTAAGGTTAGAGCTACAGAGATAAAGAGCACATTGATTTAGTATATTATTATACACATGACATTAATTAGATGAATAGATGAATAGATGAATAGATGAATAGATGAATAAATGGAGAGATGAATGGACTATATGATATGAATAGAGCCAAGAAGAGAATAGTTGTCAGAAATTTGAGAAAAATGAAGGGAGACATATCCTAGTAATTTCTTTCGTAATAATTTTAATATATCCTGCCTATTGGCTCATATATTTAAAAATGAATTTTTGCATATCTGCACTTCTGAATGTTTTTAATAAAAAAATATGGCACCTTATGAATGCTACAAATGTATGAGACATAGTCAACAACAAAAATGTGGGCAAGCCTCCAACCTCCATTGTTGGTTGTTGTTGTTGTGTTTTTTTTTTTTTTTTTTTTTTTTTGGGGGGGGGGGGGTGGTGAGTATTTTATTCTTATATCATGGATACTTTTACATCCAATTCGTTTTTTCTTCTCTGGATTCCATATCTACAAATAAAAGAAAATAGGACACTGCCTAGCTTTAAGAAAAAACTCATTTTCTCTTTTTAATTTGCTGGGATAGTATTATCAAAGTCTTCCCCCTATCTTCGTTTTCAGGAGGAGGAGATGGGTCGATTAAGGGAGGGGAGATAGTAGATGTGAAGATTTCAAAAGTAGGAAGATTGAAGAGTATGGCAAGAGGGTTAGGGTAGGAAGGGAAGAGAAGGGGGAATGGGAGTATAAAAAAGTCCCGGCAGGAAGATAAGAAAAGACACAACATCAAAGGGACATTACATCTGTTCAGAGCCAGAAGGGCGTTAACTCTGTATTCAAGTATACAAGTAAACAGCCTTCTGGCTCCACACAGATGATAAGAGAAGTTCCTATATCTTTTAACAAGAAAGTGCCCAAATACCAACAGGAAAGAAAGAAAGAGAGAGAGAGATAGAAAGAAAAAGAAAGATCGGGAGTAAAAGAAAAAAAAGAGAAGGGGGAGTAAAAAAAAAAATTCTTTCAAGGAATGAAGAAAAAAAAATCCAAAATGGAATGCCAGAAGGAACAATATAGGAGAACCTTTATCTTAGAAAGTGCCCAAATTCCAAGAGGAGAGAGAGAGAGAGAGAGATGTGGGTAGGGTAAAAGAGAGGAAGAATAAGAGATGGATGAATGACTGGATGTTGATGATGATAAAGAGAGGTGTGTCTTTTTCTTTTTTTTGTTTGTTTGTTGTTGCACTCCTTTTGTATTTCTTACCTGCATCAGCGTTACTCTCTGCGGTGGAATCTGAAAACACACACATGGTAGGAGGTATTGTGATCAAACATGAACAAACATCAACTCCTCTCAAAAAGACTAACTTCATGCCACCCTTCCACTTCAAACACACCCCGATATATTCGGTTTGACTTCGTAATCCGAGTCACAGGGGGTATGCGTGATATCCTGTATTTATGAATGATTGCTTTGCTCTGTGCAAGTTATCATCTATCAATTTTTTTTTGTTAAAATCCATTTTCTCTTCCTCAAGAATTTGAAGTCAAAGAGCATTTGATTCAAAAGATCCTGTGAGTGACAATCATATTTAGGGTTTTTCAAAATAACAAGCCAAATAGGATCAGATATATGTTCATTTTGGTGAGATAAAAATGTTTCAGTAACATTCAATATTCTGAGAAAATTCTATTTATTCCCTTTTTAAAGATATTGCCAATAAACAACTTGGAAGAAGTTATATTGTCACTTGAATATTCAGTATTCATCCTCAAATTTCTTTGTACAGAGGTCTTTCGATAACCGTCAGTTCGCCAAAATAATTCAAAAACCTAGTAAACTTTGATCATATGGTTGAAGTGTAAACAGAGACAAGAATGGGTGTGTCCCTTATGGGCGTGTCCGTATGGGTGTGTCCTTTACGGGTGTGTCCTTTACGGGTGTATCCTTTACGGGTGTGTCCCTCATGGGCGTGTCCCTCATGGGTGTGTCCCTGATGGGCGTGCCCCTTATGGGCGTGTCCCTCAAGGGTGTGGTGGGTGTGTTTGACCGGTAGAAGGGTGCCATGAAACCATGCGATGATCATGCAAAGTGCGCTGTCTACATGATCAAAGCGCACAGTGCAATTCACGCATCATGCAATGAATTCAGAGGGGGTGTTTCACAAAGATCCTAAGTCGAACCTAACTCTAAGTTGGACTTAAACATTATGGAGAGCCATTTGTAGCCTTAAAATAAAATACATTCCAAAGCAAAACTTCAAATATTTTAGACTTTTTATAAATTCCACATCAAGAACATGAAATCTCCTTGATAATAGAAAATATGAATGATTTGAATCAACATTTTATGCCTTTTGAAATGACTTAATGAAATATTCTGAAAGATGCTGACGGCTTTCCATAATTGTTAATTCCAACTCAGAGATAAGTTCAACTTGGGATCTTTGTGAAACACCCCCCAGTGCTTGGTGTCAGAATGAAAATCTTCTAAAATGATGCGGTTCTTAATGACAAGCACAACAACAGATAAAAACCATGAAATCATAATAATTGTTTTAACTTTCGATAAATGCATGATTTGCATGCGTCTAACATAGCTTGCAGTAAAGAGCCCCTCCTATCAAACAGACCCTAAATCCGTGATGCTGTTCCCAAATGTCTACCCTCTATTCGGTCATACTCAAGTATATTCAATGTTTTCTTTAATATTTTTTCCGAGACCAACATGGATTTTAGCAAATATTCATTAAACAAATGATAACTTAATTAATCTTTAATGCAAAAAAAAAAAATAGTTAATAGTCCCAAAATCGAATTACGAGTAGTACAGTAAACTTGTCAATATATAACACCTTAATATTTCTCTACATTCAATTTAAAGGGTACTAAATGTATCATAAAATATATATCATACAAAATGCAGTCATTAGTATTCAAAACTTATCCAAAGACGTCAAAAGAAGCATTATCAAACCAAAAACAACTTCATTCAAGTAGCAAATGCAATCAAAACATTTATCAAAAAGAGTTCACTATATTATTAATGAATATTCATAGATGATATGATCAAAATGCATGGAAATACATAGTTAATTTTCAGAAGAAAACATGGATTAGATGAATTTTTCATAGAATGATTAATGATTTGGCAAAATGCAAATAGGGATTGGTAGGAATGATTATGATGGGGGTGGGTCAGATCCAAAGGAAATCATATCAGATGTTAGTTTGGTATTAAAGCTGATAAAGGGAAAGGGTGTATATGATATTAAGGAAAGGGTGTATATGATATTAAGGAAAGGGTATATATGGTATTAAGGAAAGGGCAAGGAAAACACAATGCAAATTCACACTTCGTTAGTATGCACAGTATCTGTACTGTCTAAAAAAGAAAAATATTAAATATATCTCATATCAATGTGTCTATTAGTAAGGTTTCATGTCTGCTATTTCTACAGGTTCAGCTATTCAACAAACAAAGGTAAAGGGTTCTAAATGCACTCTTTGGTATATTTAATCTGACTATGTTTGCCTAAGCACTAGACCACACATAGCCCATGAGCTTTAAGATAAATATTTATCAAGAACGGACACGGGTCAAAGAAAAAAGCCCATGGCTCGTTAGAAATTGAGTAAGATACAAATTTAAAGTATTACGCCATAATCAAGGAATGCTTTTTACACACACAATCCACGTAAGACACCAAATAGACTAACTTACAACTTATAATAGTTTAACTAACAAAGATTGTCTCTATAAAACAATACAATTCTTTCAATGATTTAGGATATTTCTAATACAAACGAGGCAGATATGCAAATTTACCATCCCTTATGAACAGGGGTAAATATGTGAATGAAAAGCAGTAAGAATATCTAATGGAAGGGACGGTGTTGCGCTCCTGCAAGTTTACAGACTGAAATAACAAGGTCTACTCCTTAACCTCTCTAGGCCTGTCTTCATTAGCTCAAGATTGTCAAATAACCCAATATTTCTGATTTGGGAAATAAGCCAGAAGTTACATATCACGTCTTCATCAGCTCGAGATATTTTGCTCAGCGTTCCCACATAGTGCGAGTCCTCAGGCTGGTGAAGATGCACCGGACAGATAGCGGGATATTTTGCAAACTAGCCGAAGATATCTTGGGATGATTATCTCAACCAAATATCCCACTCATTGCAACTTTAGGCTGATGAAGACGCAAATTAACTGGATAATTTTAGATCGAGATAGTTCAAATAGCGGGATATTTGGCAATCTCGAGCTGATGAAAACAGGCCTTCTGTCTCTCCATCTTAACATTGAGACAAGGTCACTTGTAGAGGTTTCACTTAACAAGAGCAAATATTGGGATGGGTGGATATATGTCCTTAGCAAATAAACTAGCGAGTTTAGACACCAAACCAGTGTCAAGGAACTTCTTCTTCAGCCGCCTCGCAAGGGAGAACTGTCAATACAGATGGACCTCTTCCTACATTGCCTGTGGCTAGGAGATCAATTTCTTTTTCTTACATTAGGCCTGTTTTCATCAGCTCGAGTTTGCCAAATCACCCGCTATTTGAACTATCCCGATCGCAAATTATCCAGGTATTTTGCTTCTTCATTAGCCTGCAGTTGCAATTAGTGGGATATTTGGTCTTGGTCTTGTTTCCTAAATATATAGCTATTTGGGAAATTGCGCCCGTCCGAGCTAGTTTGTGGTGAGCGTACCGGTCTGGTGAAGACGCAATTTCGAGCTTCAAGTTAATATCCCTAGTCTCAAAATAGCAGGTTGTTTGGCAAACTCGAGCTGATGAAGTCAGACCTAATGTATCCAACTGACAGAACTAGGAGAAAGCGGTTTCCGATGGAACCAGGGTATATTAATAGAGGGTGTTATCATGTGCCCCTATCTGGAACCAGGGTATCCTACAGGGTGATATCATGTACCCTTATCTATTTCTTCACTAGGGTTCTGTGGCTACTGATGTAAGCATTACATTTGAAGCTAATTTGATACAAGAAACATCTGAAGCTGACACAGTAATCCAACATCAGCTCTATACAATATTAAAGAGCAACTCATTCTCATCTAATCCCATCTGGACCACTCTGTTTTCGTATGATTGTCATAAATGAATTTTAAAGAGTGATATCTCAACTTAAAATGCTGCGTTTCATTTTTTTAAAATTGACATGAAATACATCTATGAATACCAACTTGATGATAGAAATTACATTCCTGTTTCTACAAGAAAATTTTAACTTATAATTTTTGTAATATTAATTAATACATAAATGAGCACTAAATTCTTAGGCAGTATTGTCCACTCATAGCAGAGGAGGGGTTAACTATTAATAGCTGCTGTACAATAATAAAGTTAGTTAGCTGTAAATAGCGGAGCACCATTTTACAATACTTTTTTTGTATGTACTTAAAAAAATCACTTCTCTGGCTTAGCTAGGCAGCCAATATATACAGACAGCAGTCACAGCACACAGGGTAAAACTTCCTACCAGGCGACCATTTACACCCTTGGGTTGAGAGAGACAACTATGAAGAGAATGCCTTAAGAGACACAGTACCATAGCAGGGTTAAAGAAGAACCATTTCATCTGTTTGGTGCCAGGAGGAAGTTAACTCATATACTTTAACACAGCGTTAACGCCCTTCTAACTTTGAAAAATTACAGGAAACCTTTAAACTCTCATAAAACTATATCCCAGAATGAAAAATTTGAAAGATGGCTATCATTTTGTTACTGTCCTTCCTTTTAAAAGATTCACCTGTATACAGTGTTACCCTGATATCACATGATTAATTTATAGTTATGTTATAATTAATGAAATATATTGAGTCTGGAATTAATAAAACAACCCTGACAGAGATAAACTGATGCATATTTATTTTTATGATCAGAAACAGTCATAAAATGCATCGTATACCTCAAACTTTTCCCCCAAATCAATAATATAGCAGAGACTTAATATGAATATCTAAATTAATGAAAATAAATTGAGTCTGGAATTAATAAACCAACCCGACCGAGATATAAACTGCATATTTACTGTTAGGATAAAAAAAAGTCATAAAATGACTAAAAATGTATAAAATAATATAAAATATACCTCAAACTTTTCCCCCAAACCAATAATATAGCAGAGACTATATATGAATATTTTATAACCCAATAACCTCTCGGATATGATGCCATAATCAATTTTTATAGTAACTGAAACAACGTGACCCACATAATTACTCTTGGTTTCATTGAAAAGATAAACAATTCTCGTTACATATTAGTCTTCACAGCAAACTCCACATTATTTTAATAGCAAGGACAAAAATGTTTTGTGTATATTTATAGGCGTGTATATGTATAGGCGTGTATAATTTGTTTATAATGAACACATTTCTATCAAATAATAACGTATGGCAACATCAATCATATCAGAGATCATTAACAAATAGTTATCTATAGACTGATATAAAGCATATTAATAAAGCCACACCTATGCATCAAATTAGTAGAGTTCAGTTTAACTCGCCTTTTACAATGTACATCTAAAATCTTTTAGGAAAATCAACTTTGTTTGCATTTCAGGAATGCATTATATTATATACACCATCATTTTTTTTTAGTGTGATAATACAAAAATAAGCTCCAACTATGGACAAAAACCAATAAATCAATGGAACCTCCTGATTTTAGATAAATCTTTTTTCTCAAGGAGCTATATATTCAGCTACCAACTACCATAAAATATACTACCGGTATTCCCTTTATTTCATCCATATCGTAAATTGCAATTTTAGTTGTTATTAATAAAAAAGGGTTGGATAAATTGCACCTATTTCTCAAAGATGACAGACACTTAAAACAGATTCATGTTTTATTGCTATATAAAAAGTACTTGAAAGTGAAAGAATATAAAAACAATGAAAAGGGTGTTATCACTCTCGCCATGATTAATGGATAGAATTGGGATCAGAGAGTCGATTGCAAAGTGATAATGGACTTTCAAGGAACTATCGAAGCTGACTTTTAGTTTCCATTGAAAACAAAACTAATTACTCTCTCTCTACATCCTTCTGAACTTCCTCAGACTTTACTGCAACATATCTTAAAGAGGATTCTTATTCTTTACAGACAAACACAATGTAATCTATCTGTTTGACTAGCCTTTGACATATCCTTAACAAATACTACCCATCCATATCATGGTTTTGAGATATCAAGAGAAATATTGTCCATCAAAAATGCTTTCATGATTATAGGGCAATGCTTTGCAAGTAAAAATGGAAATTTGGAAATTAGCCTTTTGACATATAGGTACCCCTTTTGACATACAGCTACCCCGGGCAATAGATACACGTAGTAAGACAGGTCTATTAGAGAGAAGGTGATTGACTAATGGTGAGAGTGTGGAGCAGATGCACAGAAATGGCAAGGTGAGAAAAGTGGGTATCAATTATTCAGAGCCTGACACGGCACTTGGGTGGGAAAGAGATAAAGATATAGCCAAAGATGATATACATACTGCCACGAGGAGAGAGAGAGAGAGAGAGAGAGAGAGAGAGAGGGTTGGGGGGGGAAGAGAGGGAGGGGAGAGAAGAGAGGGAGGGGGAGATAAAAGAGGGAGGGGAGAGAAAAGGTGGAGAGAGGATGGAGAGGCAAGAGAGAGGGGAAAGAGAGAGAAGGGGAAGAGAGGGAGATAGAAGGGGAAGAGAGGGAGAGAGAGAATGGGGAAGAGAGAGAGAGAAGGGGGAAGAGAGAGAGAGAGAAAGAGAGAGAGAGAGAGAGAGAGAGAGAGAAGGGGGAAGAGAGAGAGGAAAATATGACAGAGGTTTTTAAAATTGTGGGCAGGGGAACAGAAAGAGTTTTTTTGGGAGGAAGCAATATGAAGAGAGAGAGAGACAGACAGACAGACAGAGACAGAGAGAGAGAGAGAGAGAGAGAAAGAGAGAGATATACAGACAGAGGCAAAGACAGATACAAGCAAAAGGAAATACAGAGTCATAAAGACTCTTCATCTCTTCATCTGCTCCGCATCTTTGGAACTCTCTACCTGTCCAACTTCGAAATTGTAACAACATTGATACCTTTAAATCTGAACTCAAAACCTATCTTTTCCGGCAACATTGCGAATAATATGTGACATATTGAGGGAGCCAGGCGCCTTTGAATGCTTTTGCAGATAAATGGCGCTATACAAATGCTGTTCATCATCATCATCATCATCATAAAGATCAGAAGTGAAAGTAGGGAAGAAATAGGTGTGGTACAGAGCAAGAAAGTAGTGCAAGCAGAATGGAGATTAAAAGGAGGAAGACATTTACACAGAGGAATCTTGAGTGAGAAAGAGAGAGGGAGAGACAGACAGAAAGAGACATAGACAGAGGGAGAGAGAGAGAGAGAGAGAGAGAGAGAGAGAGGGGAAGGGGAAGACACACAGAGATAGAGAATGGGAAGGAGGAAGGGAGAGAAAGAGAGAGAAAAAGTAGGAAGTATGGAAATAGATGGAGTAATGATTTTGATAGAAAGAAGACAGGAAACGAAAGAAAATCAAGGGATCTGAAAGTGAGCACCAACAAAAAATAATTACAAAGCAGAGGAAAGAGACCAGAGGTACAGTGCCAAAGTAGGTCAGATGAGCAAATCAGGAAGAAGAATCAGAGGTAACCGACAGCAGTACAGAGTCTCGTTTTGGGGGGGAACATTTCCATATTATCTTTTGATCCACAATTACACATTATACATGAGCAGAAAGTACAAAAATCACACACAAATTTGAGTCTGTTTTCAATGCATTGCATGGTGTCATTCTAGAATAGGAGCAATTTAATTCCGACTAATCATTAGTCACTAAATTGGCAATGCGGCTTAAAATATGAATCACTATTTTGTGAACAAATTGGCAATTTTTCAGTTGAATTTTGCAATTTTCTTTTACACTGGATCATTTAATAAACAATTTCATTTTTTTTTAAAAACTACAAATGAGTGGAATGTAAGATCAACTGCTGCCAATTTGAGGAGAGAAAACTGATTAATTCAGAAAATAAGAAAACTGATTATTTTAAAAAATGAGAAAACTGATTAATTCTGAAAATAAGAAAACTGATTAATTTAGAAAATAAAAAAACCTGGTACTGCTGTGGGTTATATAAAGCAGGAAGAGAAAATGGTTGGAATCGAGTCAAACTGTCAAATATGCAATAGGACGCCCGACTTCCTGTACATAACTTTAAAAACTAACAAATTAAAAGGACTTATATCAATAAACATTAACATTATCTCAGTTATAAAAGCACAAATCCAACAGCTCAATGCTTTGTGCCAATTATTATCATTTTTTTCATTTCCAAGGCAGCCTTTACACCCTCGCCCCGCAACTCCACACAAGCTGTTCTCTTTGAGTTTACAAGATTGATAAAGTATAACACATATTATCTGGTGAAATATCATCACCGATACACGTTAGAGTGGCCACTCATATATTGAAAGTAAGTTGTTAGTATGAGGATCGGGTATATTATCACACATCACGCTGCTTTCCTTTATATTACACAGTGCCATGATGTAAATGTCAATTATGTTAGGCACACGTTGTAATATAAAAAGGTCGTAGGTCGATGACCTCCAAAAACTTACCGTTCCTTGGTAATACTGAAGGTTTTTTAACTTTATTTGTTAAGCCTGGTGTGGATTTGTTTTTCCAATCCATTTGTTTCAATTAAATCAATATTGTGCCAATATTTTAAATGATTCCAGATTTTGTTCGCATAGATTTAATTCCCAATTGAGTTAGGTCCACATGTGGGTAATGATTGTAAGAGTGGAGAGCATTTGTATCCATTAATACCAATTAATTGGGTTGGAGTTGTTTGGACAGTGTTATATTAATCAAGATGACATCCAAAATATTGTGTTAATAACCCAAACGAATCCACATACAATTATTTTGTGTTGATCAGTCAGTTGGAAGGGGGTCACACCCAGCCATCAAATATGCCAGGGTGGGAGTGAAAATCATGGGGTAGTTTTGAGAATAAAAAGAAGGAAGGGGGGAAAAGTGGGTGAGGGGAAAAAAGGGCAAACATAATTAGAATACAGTGACAAGAATTCAGTTGCACGATTAATTCTTGAACGATAGAAATACAGCATCATGCATACCGGTAGATGAATTAAAACATACAAATAGTGATAGATAGATAGTTAACATTCGTCATCCCGAAAACTTCAAGCAGTTTTCATTCATAACCATCCTGCCCTACGCTTGTATACATGCTCTGTTTGTGGTAATGAATGATATTTATTAATTGTTTTTTTTATATGTTTTAGTTTTATCAAACTGGATAGATAAAAGTACAGGGGTCAATTATTTGTGTGTGTGGGGTGGGGGGGGGGGGGGAGATGAAAAAATAAACATCTATAATCACCATTTGGTTCATCTCTCCCATCCACACAAAAAAGGACAACAACAATGTTCTAAGTTATAATATCATGAATATGCGTACTAAAGGCATGATATGCACGCCTAGTGATTACAAATCATCTTCAAACTTATTCCTAGAGGGACTTGTGTACAATTTCATTGCAATGTAATGAAATACTGTTAGTAGTCGATTAGCATGTGGGGTTTATATTGTGTGCATTTCTAAAAATGAAAGCGCCACGTAAAAATGGTCCAAGTGCTTTGTGTAGAAGATATAAGGAGATCAAATGTTGGTGCAGTTGCATACTAATTACAGTCAAACCTTTCCATTAAGGCCACGCAAGGGGAAAAGAAAAAGCGGCCACGGTAGTTAGGTTGCCTTTCTAGACAGGTTCTACAACACACATGTCTCCCTCTCTCAAGGGAGACAAAATGCATGACCACCACAGAAAGGTGGCCACCGAGACAGGTTTGACTGTATTATAATGATGGCGGTCCAAATGCAAGCTCCTTACCGGTGAGGTTTTTACATATTTTTGAATGCCAATCTTTTTTCTTAATTTCAAGCACTGTATCAAGGGGATAACATTACTTTCCTTCTCTCTCCACATAAACTTTTATATATTATATACATTACATATTATAACTTTATTTACATAGCAAGTCTTTAAACATGTCAAAGTGAGGAAATATACTTCATATAGGGTTAAAAGCCTAGAATTTGAGAAAATTTTTGAAGCATGTTAAAGTGAGGAAATATACTTCATATACGGTTAAAAGCCTAGAATGTGAGAGAATTGTTGATTAATCCTAGAGCACGTTTATAATCACATGGAACTACAATCATAAGACACCCTCGAGTCACATATATTCCTGTCCAGGAACATACTCATTAAACCATTAACATATTTATATTTTTAATTCAACTAATAACTACAGCTACACCTAAAAAGAGACGTCAAGAGATGTGCCTATCTGCACATAACAGCTCTTATTGTCATGGATACTTACATCCATGACTTTCATTCAAATCACAAGTGTTTTAATTGTAATTTTGAATGAGTACCCTTTAATTATTGTAAGCATTATCGACGGTACTTCAAGTTGTGAAGTCTAAAGATTCCTAGCTATTGAAGTATTTATTCTGACGTTTTTGACTTAATATGTATCCTTTAACAAAAACAAACAAATGTCATCGATCAGCCTAATTCCTCATAACAATCATTGTGAGGCAGAGGGGGAAAATCAAAATAGCCCAGTATGCTCAACAATCAGTTGTTTGACTTGTACCAAAAAAAAACATCATGTTAATCCACAAGGACATTGTTAAGAAGACTATTGTTACAGAGTACAAGAAGCAATTAAACTCTAAAAAGAAAGGACGAATACATCTTTTTCTGGTCTATGACTGATAGAAAATCCCGCAGTACAGGCTTTAAAGTTTAACAAAATATTTTCAATGAATTAGTTTACCTCTGGAAAGTGAAATAAAAAAATATCTTTACTGAAAACTGTAGAAATGTGCTCCATATTGCAAGAAGCATGAAATAAGGTGCATTCAGTGTTAATAACAGAGAAGTAACAAATACAAGGAATACTGTCTTCATCATATTATCACAAAATATTATTCTATATTCAAACGGGGCTTGATGACTTATCCTAGATTATGTTCGACTACTTTACAATTTCAAAAACTTAAGTTAGATTTGGCTATTGGTATACAGAAAATAAAGCAGTTTATGAATTATTGATTGTAATTTAGATTGGCATTAAAGAAGTACCTGCATAGATTGATGACTCCATAAGGTTTCATAAATTCAAATCATAGCAGGTTTGATTATACACTGAACGACTTCATGAATAAACCAATAAACCCTATCATCCATCATGTCAGCCGCACGGGAGCAGTAATGTGTTCTTCACTCGATGGTGGAAATAATGATTCCAGGAAAGTAGCAAGCACTTTTTACCCAATTCTTATCCTTTCATCATATCTGTCCCCATTTAGATGGCAAGGAACACATTCGTTTTGAAATTCATCCTATGAACGTTTTTGTTTCTGATTTTTTCTTAAACACAACCACTGATTCCCCCGGCAGACGGTGTGTAATAGTCTGCAACAAACATCCGGGGACTCCTTCCAAGTGATTGCTAAACACTAAGTGTTACACACAACAGTCGAGTGTGTCCTCGGATTCCTAACGGAAGTGGAACAAAGTGCAAATTGCATGCTGATGAAAAACATTAGCAATCTAAAGAAGATATTCAAAAATACCAGGAGAGGGAGGAGAATGACATCAATCAAATTTTGGGTAAAGGCGGGCACATTCCATAGGAGGAGGGGGGAATGGGGGAGAGGGGCAGAGGAACATGCAAAATTTGACCTTTGACCTAGGTGAAAGGTCAGATGCCTACCTTCAAATGTGTCATCTCCATCTGAGAGGAGCTCATCGTCGGAGCAGATGTTGAGGATCGAGACGAGCATCTCCGTCACTGTAAGGGCGGAAAGCGACAATGATGATTGGTTATTAACACTTTGGTTGTTTTCTCCGCTTCTCTGCACGACGCTCGTTTTCCACTCGTGCAAAATTGCACACAACAAGAGACACCTTTGTAGTAGTGGTAGTGGTGGTTATTGTACCTGACTGCTAAGAGAGCATAATTGCTTTTTAGTAAGCAACCAGAGGACTGACGGCTTTAGGTCCTCTCCGAGAGACCTGGTAATGATGATTAATGCCTTACTGGCAGAAGGATTGCTTTGTGCAACACAATGGCTTTGAAAAACAATCCATTTTCGGTCTTGATCAGCTTCATGACAACCCTTTTAAACCTTGCATTCAAACCAGTTGAATAATCTTGAAGCCTTTGTTATATCTATCCCATGATGAATACAATGTGGCACAGGGAGATTGTTTGTGTGGCATATATAAAGAGTTAATTCATAATAATATTAATACTCTCTGCCTGTTTGCCACACCTTGTACACTGAAAAAATCTCTCTACTTGGTTAACAACAGACTACTGTCCTGGCTACCGAGCAAGCCTGCTACCATCGTTGGCAAATAGCGAGAGAAAAAAGATATCCTACCATGTACCCCTTCCACAAACCACAGTGACAACTGTAAATAATACCTTGCGTGAGGACGCAAGAACCAGGCAAGGATTCGACCCCTCAACTTCACACTTTTCAGTCATGTGAATGACATGCTTCTTATTGGATCTGTTTCTAAAATACATGCAAACATGAAGAGCTGTCACCAGATGTATGCCACCCCCCCCCCCCCAAAAAAAAAGGAACCAATTCTTAATCTAATGACATAATTAAGCAGGAAAAAAAGAATAGCAATTGCTAATATTAAGGGGAAAAAAGCAATCCTTTTAGCCAGGACTACACACTGAATTTTTGGAAGGGGGTCTGAGTAAAACTTTCCGGAGGCTGCATGCATAAACCCTTTTTAAAATGTTTAAATTGGGGGGGGGGGGGTCTGAACACGAATTTGGGGCGTTCCCGTGTCCAGGGCGCCTGTTTTTGTCGAGCCGTGCTTTAGCGTTTAATAAACCTGTCTTTGCTGGCCTACCCTTTTCACCGACGAACGGTAACGACCACGTGAAGACATCCATGAAGTTAGGTAACCAGTAAGGATGCGGGGAGCAGTTGAACTGCCTGATGTTCATCACATTGTTCTCGTACTTCAGTACTGCAGCTGTAAGATCAAAAAAGGTATATAACATGTCACTGATTTCGTAAAATAATAACAATGGTTTCTTTGATACGTAGCACTCATAATCAACAACTTGGCTACCAATTCCTTTACACCCACCAGGCGCCCATGGATCATACATACCAGGGTGGGAGAAGCAAGTGCAGATTCATGTCTTGCTAAAGGAGATTTACGCCCAGCAAAAATCATAGACAATTTTAACTCTACATCTAATGCAGTAGATTGTGCCATTCTCAAATGAGGGTGATTTTTAATTGTAAGTAATCATTAAAACCTCTAAATTGGCAACACGGTTTGAAATATAAAACAATTTTTTCTTGTATAAATTATGTATTTTTCCGTTCACATTGGTTCATTTCATAGAAAATTTTCTTCTTCAAATAAAATATAGGAGTGGAACATAAAATAGATTAAATTGCCAATTTGAAGAGAGAAAAACTGATTAATGACAAAATTGAAAGAAAACTCTGAACTGTAATGGGTTAAAAAAAACGCTATCTCACAGGAACAATGGTAATTTGTATGTGATCAACGGAAAAGTAATTACTTTGTAACATGTATAATAAACCCATTTCTTGATGGTCATTGCCTTGGTAATAATGAGTCCAGTGAGACTTGACGGTTTAACTGTGGCTATGTTCAGAATTCCATGAATAGGCATGACTGTGGGGAATTCAGTACTACATTACAATGCATGCCTGGATGAATACTAACTACTCATGAAAACCTGCATGTCTGATCAGCCATTCTCCATAAACTCTTTCCCACTGCCATCATTTTAACCAACAATTTGATCCCCCCCCCCCCCACCCACTTTTTTTCCCATCTTCTTATTGGTGTAGACATTATGAAAGCTCTCTAAAATCATACCTGTGGATAATGCAGGATCTGTTTTGTGGAAAGTGGGGGAGGGGGGAGGGGGGAGGGGGGGGGGGTAGTGCACTGTTGCCTATAGGTTACAGAAGACACTACAAATGGGACTACAATACCGACACAAGTATAGACTAGGATACATTCGACTTTGTTAAGATACATTAGTTGGTGATAGACCAAGTAACAGGGTAGATTATGAAATAGGATCTATGATAAATGAAGCACTATACCAAAGACTCTGTGGATTTGATTGACATTGGACTGAAATGCATTAAAATGGGACCAATATATATTTATTGTTATATCACACATCAAAGACTATGGGCAGGACTGTTATTCTGCTTCAAAGGTCAGATGGCATGAAAGTTTATTAGTGGGACTACACTTTGACTTCATGTTATATGACATGGAAGCCTATGAATGGGACTACTGACTTCACAGATTAGATGACATGAAAGTCTATGAATGGGACTATACTTTGTAAGAAGGCATGCAAGTCTTACCTTTATTGTTATACACATCCAGGTAGTTAGGTGCCGAGAAGATGGTAATGAGGGAGGGGAAACCTGTTGCAGGACTCTTCCTGTACATCCGATACCTGCAAATATACAAAATAAATTAATTAAAATTATTAAAAAAGCACTCACTTTTGGAATTGTATAAATATTGGATCATGTGTACTTCAGAAGAAATTCATTAATCAAAAAAAAAAAACACTCTCTTTTATAATTGTATAATATCAGATCATGTGTATTTCAGAAGAAATTAATTTATTTAAAAAACTCAGTTTTATAATTGGACAATATCAGATCATGTGTATTTCACAGAACATATATTGAATGATTAAACTTGACAAGACTGATGAGAAAGAGGAAAGCGAAACAGGAAGCCAATTACGCCACGAGTAATCTGCAAATTAAATCTTGTTACAAGTGCTTCGCTGTTCTTGTTTTTGTTTTTTAAAGGACAATTAATACCTCTGTTCCTTGAATGCGCAAGAGAAAAAATGATGGAAATGACTGTTGCTTGGTTTGGGTGAATTCATGGATTAATTGAATGTAAATTCTTTTACATGCAAGTATCAGCATTGATCCTGGCATTACTTCCTCCCTCAAAAGAGAAGTTCAAGTTCTAAAAGGATTCAGAGGTTTTCTCAGAAATGGCCTTGCATTTTACTCTTCTTTTCTTTATCTTTTGTTAACTTTCTTTCTTATTATTTGAGATGGCTGTTTGAATAATCAGAGCTATTCAGGAGCTTTCTCGAGTTATAATGCTCTTCACTTTCCATGACATAAGAATTATAATAATAACAATATTCTATATTTATATAGTGCTTATTTCATTGACGATGTCTCTAAGCACTTTACATAAATATTATTACCCCGGTCATCAGATTCAGGCTCGCCTCAAATGCACAAATTTATGCTATAGTTATGTTATAAAGGGAAGTCAGAAAAAGCATCAATAAACCAATGAAATGACTCCAGCCCATTTACTCTACCATCCTAGGCCCCAAATGCAAAGTCTTGAGTTCATACATTCCCCCACCCCCCAGGCTACATCCGAGGAAATGATAAATCATGGGAGGAGGAGTGGGAGAGGGGAAAGTATGTGCTTCAAATCTCCATTTCGACTGAAAGGAGACTTCCGATAAGGCCTGTCATCATCAGCTCGAGATTGCCAAATAACCCGCTATTTTAACTATCCCGATATTATCGCAATTTATCCAGCTAATTTGTGTCTTTATCAGCCCGCAGTTGCAATTAGCGGGATATTTGGTTGAGATAATCATCCCAAGATATCTTGGGGTAAGGTAGTTTGCAAATATCCTGCTATTTGTCTGGTGCGTCCTCACCAGCTCGAAGACTCGACTATGCACAAACGCTGAGCAAAATATCTCGAGCAAATGTCTCGAGCAAATGTCTCGAGCTAATGTCTCAAGCTAATGTCTCGAGCGTGAGTTTCGAGGTTGATTCTCGAGCTGACTTCAGGCTTATTTCACAAATAGCAGGCTATTTGGCAATCTGGAGCTGATGAGGACATACCTACGGATGCTGCGATAGCAGGGAGTATTAAATTAATTTGTCGACTGCAAGACAACAACCAAGACTCATTTATACACATCCCTCAGGGAGGGCAGAGTCATAAAGTCTATGTTCTATGGGATAATGTGATGTGTGATGTTAGCAAACGGATATTATTCAAACCACAGAGTTCACGGTGGGTAACACATTGGAAGTTTGCTTGATGTCAATGGCTCAAGTCAAACTGCCTTGAATGAATGAAGACATTAGGTCAATTCCAAGAGTTACGCAATTACATTTCCAGAGAAGTTCAATTTTGAAAGGAGAATATTATAGACATTTCCAGAAAATCTAAATTTTGAAAGATGAGTATTATACACATTTTCATAAAAATCTATAAATCAATAATATAACATATAAACTAAAATGAGGTATCCTATCAATTTGTTTAATATTAACAATCAAATAGATCTGATATGGAATATCTAAAATAGGACCTATGTCATTACCTAACAAACTATATAAAATTTAAAGGTAAAGACCAGTATTGGAAACGCCCCAATTTCAAAAAATGAAATGGAAGCTCTCATTACCAATCATGTGAAAGAATATGTTTTGACTAATACATGATGATAAAAAATTTGCCAGGAAACCGCCTACTAATTCATTTATTTGGTAAATTTGTTTTTCTCATGGTCTGTGAGAGATATAGGGTAGTCCCATATACATCTTTCTGGGTATAGTGCTTGTAACTTTACGAAGAATGGGCCAAATTTCTTATCATTTTGATGATTCCAGAACCTTGCAGATGCTAGATGCTAGATGATCAACCTTTTCTGATCGATTCCACAACGTTTCTTTCACAATGCAATCGCATGACCATAACTGGTCTTTACCTTTAAGTTTATATATTCGATGAATGGTCGACTGTCATGAAACCCAAATATGGTGAAAGTTTATTAAAGCCCCATCGCACTAGTTTGGCCAAGAGGGATTAGACCTTTCTGCATGGTCACTGGCGGGTGGTTATCTCATCAATATCCTCTCAATTAACATTAGAAAAATAGGATCATGTGGGACCAATGGTCACAGATTAGGCATTGTTTGCTACATAGAGGGCGTAAGTAGCTATAAGTAGTGCAGTGGGGCTTTAAAATGTTTACAATATCCTTTCTCAAAATAAAAAAATTCTGAAGAAAACACAAAGTCACTTACCCCGTATCCTGAGCCTCGTGCGCTCGAATTATTGAAAGAAGGTTATTCTGTTGTAGGAACTCACAGCATGCTTGATAGCTGCAATCAAACAAATAAACACAAATATTCATTAATTTGTAGAATTCTAGACAGGGATACGTGTGTACATAGAAATATTAGATTTAGATCAGGGACCCATTTCACAAAGCCTTTTTTCAATGACAAATGACAAAAATCAGTGACAAATCTGCTGATAACCAATCAGAAGCAAGGATTTCAGTAGCTTCAGTAGACGTGTACAATGTACATAGAAATATTAGATTCAGATGTAAGTATATTTGAGGAGGGAACCGATACAAACCTGAACAATGAAGCAAACTCTAAAAATCAACAATGATACTCATCAGGATTTGAAAGGGAAAAAAAATAATCTGTAGTCAACCAAACAAAAATATTCATTAATTTGTAGAATTCTAGACATGAATGTGTACATAGAAATATTAGATTCAGATGTAATCATATTTGTGGAGCGAACTGATACCAACCTGAACAATGAAGCAAACTCTAAAAATCAACAGTGATATTCTTCAGGATTTGAAAGGGAATTTTTTTTTATTTGTATTCATACAAACAAACAAAAAAAATCATTAATTTGTAGAATTCTAGACAAGGATAATGTTTACATAGAAATATTAGATTCAGATGTAAGCATTTATTTGAGGAGGGAACCAATACAAACCTGAACAATGAAGCAAACTCTAAAAATCAACAGTGATATTTGTCAGGATTTGAGGGGGAAAATTGTAATTTGTAATAATAGAAGATGTACTGTAAATAGAAGTTCTACACCGTTCGTTGTTGTCTGCACCATCTCCTGTTTTACCTTATCTGCATGCATAGACTCTTATTTGACATCTTACCACAATTCCTAAAGCCTCCATCATAGCCTAGGTATCGGTTATCCTTTTTCATGTGAGCATTACTCAAAGTTATATGACATTTTTATCTTCATCATTTCATCTTAAATTTTATTTTCCGGTACTTTACCATTTATCTTTTTATATTGTAATCAAAGTTGCAGCATCCTGTGTTTAACAACGAGATCATCATTTGTATCTTTTTATCTTGTCTGGATGTAAATTCACAACACAAACTAATCCTTGGAATGAAACAGTATAAAATATTCACTATAAAAACCTTCAGTTAAGCCTTCAAACAATAATGCAGGTACATACAAATATTCACCCACACCTTAAGGTATACCTTCACACAATATCGCAGGTACATAAAGATATTCACTCAAACCTTCAGTTAAACCTTCACACAAAATTGCGGTACATAAGACCATATATATATATATATATATATATATATATATATAAAGCATACAATAGATGAAACAAATTTACCCCATGCAGTCTGTGCATTAATTCATTATTCATAGCCTTGATCAGCAATACCACGCTCTCTTTAGGCCTGTCCTCACCAGCTCGAGATTGCCAAATATCCCGCTATTTGAACTATTCCGATCGCAAATTATCCAGTTAATTTGCGTCTTCATCAGCCCGAAGTTGCAATTAGCCGGATATCTGGTCGAGATTATCATCCCAAGATATATTGGGCTAGTTTGCAAAATATCCCGCTATTTGTCCAGTGCGTCTTCACCAGCCCAAAGACTCACACTATGCGCGAACGCTGAGCAAAATGTCTCGAGCTAATTTCTAGAGCTCAAGTTTCAAGTTTCAAGGTCCAGTCACGAGCTGATTTGTAACTTCAGGATTATTTATAATATGATTGCAGGGCCCTCAGGGAGAACAGTATGAATACTGATGAGGCTACCCTGGGTAAACAAGACATATTCTTCTTCGTATTTCAAAATCAGAAATAGCGAGCTATTTGGCAATCCCGAGCTGATGAGGACAGGCCTACTGGGTCCTGGCTACCTGCCCCGACGGTAAAATGCAAATCCCTTTTAAAAAGTCAGGGCAAGATTAGAGAGAAGGAGGACTTTTAGCATACTTTTATCCGCATCATGAAATCCAGGAGGGGGAATATCCAACATCGTCTGTCAAAATTTATCAAACACACGCTATTCTCCACATAATATCCCAAAACAACACCAATGTTTATTCACTGTATATATACATTTAACTCACACTACGTTAAAAATGATTAAATGTGATTTTTCCATGGAAGTCCAAATGAAGAATTATATATTATACGACAATGAAGCGGATCCTAATCAAATGATGGGTTGAGAGCGTACACGTGACCAGGCATTTATTTAGCCTAGCACATAATTTTACTTCTGATCGGTCAATAGTAAAATCAGGTTATAAAACATTTTACAAAACAAAAACTGTACATCATTTTGTTCTGGAACAGTCCAGCGTTAGACTGTTCCAAAGGTACCTTGTGTGGGTAATTATTACTAATGCCCTCACTGCCGTGTATCATTTGTATGCAAACACCTTTTTTACATGTTTGTTTCATTTATTAGTTGATACAGTTCACTGATTCAACATACAGGTATGTTAAATAAATATGCAAATGTGTGGTAGCACTAACAGCCTAATCAAACATCATGTATACTATCTGAAAACAAAATGTTAAATTCTCCTTGGAAAAGTGCATACACGGTAGGTAGCAAGCTACTTGTATACATGAGACTAAAATTTAGTGCACATTATGTAGACTCAAGGTTGGGTGTGTTTATATGACAGGGATGAGGATAGACTAGTGCATGTATGTAGATCAGAGGTTGGGTGTGTTTACATGGCAGGGATGAGAATAGACTAATGCATGTGTGTAGAATTGAGGTTAAGGTGTGTTTACATGGCAGGGATGAGAATAGACTAATACATGCATGTAGATTTGAGTTTGGGTGTGTTTACATGAAAAGGATGAGAATAGACTAGTACAGCTATGTCGATCTGAGATTGTGTGTGTTTACATGAAAAGGATGAGGATAGACCAATGTAGCTATGTGGATCTGAGGGTGGGTGTGTTCACATGACTGAGATGAGGATAGACTAGTACAGCTATGTAGATCTCAGGTTTAAGTGTGTTTACATGGCAGGGATGAGAATAGACTAGTGCACATATGTAGACTCAAGGTTGGGTGTGTTTACATGGAAAGGATGAGGATAGACTAGTGCAGCTATGAAGATCCGAGGTTGGGTGTGTTTACATGTGCAGTCTCAGGTTAGGTGTGTTTACATGACAGGGATGAGGATAGACTAGTGCACATATGTAGACTCAAGGTTGGGTGTGTTTACATGAAAAGGATGAGGATAGACTAGTGCAGCTATGAAGATCCGAGGTTGGGTGTGTTTACATGTGCAGTCTCAGGTTAGGTGTGTTTACATGACAGGGATGAGGATAGACTAGTGCATGTATGTAGATCTGAGGGTGGGTGTGTTTACATGAAAGGGATAAAGAAAGGATGTCACATCAAACCTTCCGATTCAATATACATGATCCAATGAGAGGAGGCAATGACAGACAGTTTGTATACACGACGGAGAGCAAGGGTTCTATTCTTGTTCCCTATATGTGCTACAGGTAAGATACTGTAGATGATGGCGGATGTTTTTTGTTTTTTTCCGAGTATCGACATTTGAAGAAAGAGATGATGTGACAATGATGAGAGAAAAGAGAGAGAAAGAAAGTGAGGGAGAGATAGAGAGAGGGAGAGAAGATGGGGGATGTTTTTTTTTTTTCAGAGTGCCCACATTTGAAGAAAGAGATGATGTGACAATGAGAGAGAAAGGAAGAGAAAGAAAGGAAGAGAAAGAAAGGAAGAGAAAGAAAGTGAGAGAAAGAGAGAGAGAAAGAGAGAGAGAGAAAGAGAAAGAGAAGAGAGAGAGAGAGAGAAAGAGAAAGAGAAAGAGAGAGAGAGAGAGAGAGAGAAGATGGGGGATGTTTGTTTTTTTAGAGTGCCCACATTTGAAGAAAGAGATGATGTGACAATGAGAGAGAAAGGTAGAAAGGAAAGTGAGAGAAAGAGAGAGAGAGGGGGGGGGGAGGGAGAGAAAGAGAGAGAGGCAGCAAGGCTAGACCGAAAGTCAAACAGTATTAGTAACCATGAGTATTACTATCAGATTGTTATCAGATCACTGCGCCTTCTCAAGCAATATAGCGATTATATTTCCATCTCGCTGCATGTGAAATCATAATCCAGGAAGAGAACTCCCTTTTCTTTTACGGACGACATGCAAATATACGCGCCGTGTAAGCTCCTAAAAAGCAGCGGAAGTACTAGTGGACTGCCTCGATTGTAAACATTGGGTACAATGGGTAAGATGTGTTAAGATCTATAGGCGTTATTACAAGATCCTTTTTAACAGGGCATGACTGACATAAATCAATGTTGACATTCACATCCAGCCTTTTGAGGTGTAGTTACGACATGTGATGTATGAAAATAAATCAAATTTTGCACTAGTAATGAACGATCCGCCGAAATAGGATTGTCGGTGTTGTAACAGTCATAAATTGTAAGGTCACATTAAGATGAATATCTGGACAAAAATGTAATATGATGACAATGATGATGATGATTACAATGATAATGATGATAACAATGATGATGACGATGATGACGATGATGACGATGACGATGATGACGATGATGATAGTGAAGATGGAAGTATTATAAAATGGAAAAGGGAAGGAAATTCAAAATTAACAAACTACAACATAAACATAAACATACTACTACTCTCATTAAAAAAAAGAAGAATATTAATTCCTAACAATAATAATGATACAAATATGACATTAAAAAACAAAAAGAATATTAGAAATCATTCTTATTTGTCGTAATAGAGCAGCATAAAGTAGATTAAGTATGACTAGAGGTTCATGGTATGACCTCCATCTGCAGTTTTGATACAAGCTGTCAGCGCATGAAGATCAAGTAAGTATATCACCTGACCGTTAAAACCCAATGCACTGTCATGGGATGAAAGATCACACCAATTTAAGTCTGGTTTGGAATTCTCATTACATGCTCAACTGAATAGTAACTCGGCATCTTAAACCAAGCGAGGGATAAGGGGGTAGCAAATTGGCCACTTCATTTCTTCCTAACACCCAACTTTTTCATAGAAGTATGTGCATGGCTTTATGAATTATTATTTCAAACCCTTTTTTCTGGCAATTTGGAGGCATAACTATATATGAACTAGGTCACTTAATTTTTTTTTTTTTTTTTTTAATAATTTTTTTAAAGAGCTAATAGTTACCAAAGATGGCAATGATCATAGATGCATATAGTTGTAGCATTACTTTCAGCAAAGTAACTGCCTTTAAAAGTGCAACAATTATATATACTTAGCATTGCTTTTCGATATACTAGATTCTATGCGTGTAAAGAGACAAACAGATTTGAAATCTTCAGTAGATCTGAACTGACAATGAAGATGTTCATGTACGGGGAAAATAGGCATTCGTGAAGTAGGCAACTCGGCGAACACTGAGCAAAGGGGTATTGCGCTCCCATACGGACGTATGCATAAAGGGACACTAGTACTCACAGGAGCGCAATACCGGTTGGCTCAGTGCTACCCTCTATATAATCACGCATGAGCAACTTTAACACATTTGAATTTTTGCTTCTCTTTCACAGGTTCTGCTGTATATGTATGAAATGATCAATTACCCAAATGATACTGAAAGTCATTACGTTCCACTGTTTGAGTTCTACCAGTAATCACCCCCCCACCCCTCCTGCAAGAGTCTCTCCCTCGCTGTTCTAGTGTTCTCACGGGGATATGAATGGTACTGCTTCATTAGATAACAACCCTCATTACTTATCCAGTCTAATGTGTGACCAGCTTTTAAAGGGATACATCACCTTAAACCATATTTCAAGTCACACTATACTTAACCGATCAATCTTAACTCAGAAAACTACTGAATACTTTGCTTTATTGCAAACTCTGATTTAATAATGTCTGGGTTGTTTTTGTTTTTTGTTTTTTGTGGGGGGAGGGGGTGTTCTTCCCACTTGCAATTTCCTCTACAAAAACATGACTTTTCTGCATTTTTTCTTATTCCTTGTTCAGATGTGATTACTCATCCAGTCTTATGTGTGACCAGGTTTTAAAGGGATACGTCACCTTAATGATATTCCAAATCACACTAATCTTATCAAATATTCATAATTTCGAAAACTACTAAGTGCTTTGCTTTATTGCAAAATTGTTAAGTGTTGTATCAAATTAAAATTGAGATTTAATGATGTTTTTTATTTGGGGGAGGGGTGGGGTCTCTTCTTCATCCTTACACTTTGCTCTAGAAATGCTTGATTTTACTGCATTTACTCTCATTCCTCGTTCAGATACAACTCGGCCAAACTACAGAGTTTTTTCTATGACGTAAAGTGTGATTTTCCCATTTCACATCTTATAAAACAGAGCTCCGTTGATATGTACAGGACCTTTGCTGCATGCAGTTGCCATTAATTTACATCTTTTAAAAACGCTGCAGCTTTAATAACTGCGGGGGCTTGCTGCGTGATATCTGTACTGGCCTTTAGAAGCAACTTGCTATTAACAAGTTGAAACTGCAGTTTAATAATTAATGGTTGATCTGGGAGTCATAAAGTACACACCATACAACTATCCATGTGTTGTCATGCCCTCACAATTTTCAGTTGTTCTAGAAGCGACCTTGAATGATAATGATTTACATGAAATTCAGGAGTATCACAAATATGCTGGTACAAGTTCTAGTACTTTAATTTCAATTCAATTTCAGTTTATTTGGCATCATAAAAAAAATTACAAATCAAAACTACAGAATAATTAATAGACTAGGACCTCTTAAAAGCAACTTGTGCTGGTACATGAGGCATAAAAAGTACAAGAATAACAGCCTTTTCACACACAGCTAAAATTCATCGTATCTAGTGATGATTAGAATCATCGTAAAATTTTAAACATGTTTATAGACAAAATTTCCCAGTGTGAACATCGTTTATACGATGTTGGGATAGATACGAAGTCGCGATCCATACGCCCCTAAAAGCAGGCTGCAGATACGAAGTTCGTATCTAGAGAGCTTGACATTTTGTGTGTGAAAGGAAATTCTTGTTTAAACGTGTTTAAACTGGATGGAGCGTGCGCTTTGATTGACATGATATGACCTTCAATGCGCAATGGCACTACTGCGCATTTTACGAGCAGTAGTTAATCACGAAACAATTAACGATCGCACCGAAATTTCTGTGTGTGAAAGACTCGTGATTAGTTTAAACACGTTCGAAACACGTTTATACTAGTCATGTTTATAGAATTTTAGCTGTGTGTGAAAAGGCTGTATGAACAACACAAATATGCTATGATAAACATTTTTAAAGAGTTTGGTTTTTAGAGAGCCTTTCTTACCTGTAGAAGTATGAACAGCCTCTGACTGAATTGTGACTGAAGTGTTGATCTGTGTTCTTCTCACTACCAAAGTCCTCCAGAGGATCTGACCAGAGGAGATCACACATAGGACCAAATGCTGGAGGCTCCTTGAATCTGTCCAACTGTCAAAAACAAACAAAGGCAAACAAATATCAAGGTTAAGGGCCATCTGTACAAGTTTGCCAGAAGGGATTAGACCACCCAGCAAGGTTGCTGGCAGGTGGCTCTCTCATCAACTCAGCTCTCAATTAACTTAAGAAAAAGATGATCATGGGGGACCAACAGGCACCGATTCAGGAATGTTTCTATATAGAAGGAGCAAGTAGCTACAAGTAGACAGTATGGCTTTAAAGACAAATAAAATATGAAAATGTGTAGATAAAGATCATTCTGCATTACTTACATGTATCAAATTGGTTTTTAACAATGAATGAAGGGGTGAGGCATGGATATGAATTCTCTTTTTTCATAACAAACAATGCCTAAACGGTACCCGTTGGTCCCCCATGATCCTCTCTTTCTTATGTTAATCGAGAGCTGATTTGATGGGATAACCACCTGTCAGTGACCATGCAGGGAGGTCTAATCCCTCCTGGCCAAACCAGTGCAGACAGGCTTTAAAAGATGGAGAATTGTGAAGCATAGTACTTCATATTATCATTTTTTTTTTTTTAATGCCACGGTTTTGTCATATCCTTTTTGAACGTCGCTTTGGACCTTGAAACCTTGGAGAAAGAAAACAAAATCCTTCTTTTCGCCAGTAATGACTATCAATCTATCTATTACTCCATAATAAAGGACTACTTTGCTGTGGTATGTTTTCAGATATATAAATAGCATTGCTTAAGCGGCAGCCCTTTCAAGCCAGAATATAAATAGAGAGAAGAAACTGGCAGACCCTAAAGTCTAATTGATAGATTAGGAAAAGAATCAGATTGTAAGGAGAGCATTCGAAAGCCGACTCATAGGACCACATGTTGGAAGGCACTGCTGTGAAATTGTGTGCCATGAGAAACTCTTTTTCAGCAAGGATTCTTATAGAGGTTGTACACAAGAAGGCAAGTTGTCTACCTTTACACTGCTTTAAAGCAGGACTGCACTACTTGTAGCTACTTGTGCCCTCTATATACCAAACAATGCCAAAGCGGTGCCTGTTGGTCCCCCATGATCCCCTTGTACTTGTGTTAATTGAGAGCTCATTCGGTGAGATAACCACCTGTCAGTGACCTTGCAGGGAGGTCTAATCCCCCTTGCCAAACTAGAGCAGACATGCTTTAAGTACTATTTTAGGGCTTGCCCATACACAACATGTGCACATTCTCCACTGCCGGGTGAGCTTTCTTTAGTCACTATTTTACAGGTGCAAAAATGATGCCCAAACCACATTGCCATTTACATCCTACTGGGTACCCATTTAAAGCCTGGGTGAAGAGAAGCAACGTTGATAAAATGCCTTGCTTAAGGTTTCAAGTTTCATCCTGGGGATCAAACCCATGACCTTTGCATCTCCAGATAAGCTACAGTTTCATTGTGTAAAGTATTTCTACCATTTTATGTATATCTGTTTGTATTTCTAACAGAAAGCCAAGCTTTTTGTTGCAATAATCCAGTTCACAGTTAGCACATGTCCCAAATGACCCTGAATATCCACAGATCTTCAAAACATGAATAGCTCCCACTTGTACATTTTGAAATAATCACTCCTACAGCGATGGAGGTGCTACATAAATGGCCTTTGTTTCACCTTTTCAAAGTCTCCGTGTATTTCACAGTTCGGTCTGCAATGACCTTCATCTCACTATGAATATGACGGACAAAGAAAGCGGACAGAATATACAGTTCCTCATTCGACAAAGGAACATCCCTTCACTACTATTATGTAAAAATGTGTAGAACAGGTATCACATGCATATTCATGTCCGCTTTTTTTGTCCGTCATGTTCATAGTGTCTGCTTATGCTCAGACTGCAACTATGAACTGGTTTATAAAGGAACAATAATCATAATCATACTTACATTCTTGATGTCGTCTAATGAGTGTATTTCTGGTGAGAGGCCTCCATGCACACAGAGGAACTGTTGGTTCATCACAGCTGCTAATGGTAGACAATCAAACGCTATCATACATGCATTGTACACACCCTCTGTGTATTTAATTTTGCCTGAATTGGGAGAAAAAGAGAAAGAGAGAGAAGTATGAATTAAAAGCAGGAAAACAAGGTATTTATAATAGATTAATTTCATCAAACGCTATCATACATGCATTGTATACACCCTCTGTGTATTTAATTTTGCGTGATTTGGGAGAAAGAGAGAGAAAAAGAGAAAGAGGGAGAAGTACGAATTAGAGTAGGAAATTTAGACAAAGAATTTATAATATATTCAATTTAATCAACTTTAAACAATTTTTAACTGCATCAGCATAAGTTCGCCATGTTCAATACATTGCCTGCATCACGAAATCAAAATATTGGTTATATACACCCTCTGTGTATTTCATATTGCCTGAATTGGGAGAAAGAGAGAGAAAGAGAGAGAGAAAGAGAAAGAGGGAGAAGTACGAATAAGAAGCAGAAGAGACAAGGAATTTACAGGCAAACTTGCCTTAGTGACCACCTGTCTACAAAGACCACATTTTTTGTTTCTCTTGAAAATGGTTTCTCATTGAAACATGTACTAAAAGGAAACTTTACATAAAGACCACCTGTACATAAAGACCATAGGGTGGTCATTATAGACAGGTTTCACTGTACATTAATTTCAATCAATTTTTAACAATTTTAATTGCATCAGCGTATTAAAGTACTCTATGTTCGATACAATGCCTGCATCATGAAATCTAAATAGTGGGACAATACAGAAACAAATATTGCTTAACAAGACATGACATTGATTAACATAACATTTATTGATAACAAATGACTTCTGTCATCTGATTCTGCTCTCCTTCAAAATTTAATTTCTGTATTCAGGGCATGATGCTGGAAATGTTTAACAATCAGTTGTTCACAATCTCACTAGCTTGAGATAAATATAAAGCTGATTTTAAAGCTTGTAATAATAGCCAATCTCAATGGAGGAAAATGGTTGTCCTTGTGAAGGGCGAGAGGAGTTAATTCTTTTTATTTTCACAAGCTTAGGGTAGTCGGTTCAGAAATTAAGAGATTTCACAGACAGCCCTTATATTTTGTGAAGGGTGAGATGAGTTAATTCTTTTTATTTTCACAGGCTTAGGGTAGTCGGTTCAGAAATTAACAGATTTCACAGACAGCCCTCATATTTTGTGAAGGGTGAGATGAGTTAATTCTTTTTATTTCACATGCTTAGGGTAGTCGGTTCAGAAATTAACAGATTTCACAGACAGCCCTCATATTTTGTGGAGGGTGAGATGAGTTAATTCTTTTTATTTCACATGCTTAGGGTAGTCGGTTCAGAAATTAAGAGATTTCACTGACAGCCCTCATATTGTGTGAAGGGTGAGATGAGTTAATTCTTTTTATTTCACAAGCTTAGGGTAGTCGGTTCAGAAATCAAGAGATTTCACAGAGACAGCCATTGGAATATGGTTTGAAAGGATCAAAAAATGAATTTATAGTTTCAATCGCGAGGCGTAAGATAGCCTTGTAATCAAAACCCCCTTATACAAGAAACTTGTGTCCCTTTCTCGTGTTGAGCGTTAAATTGGCAATGGCACAGCTGGCCAGACTCGAAGGCAGTGCAGCCCCCAGCCACTATATACTCAGCTGCTATCACACCCACCCACACACACACACACACTCACCAACACCCGCTATATACTCAGCTGCTATCACACCCACCCACACACACACACACACTCACCCACACCCGCACCACAAAGGAGTCGTGACTCTGCCTTCTACTAGGCCAGATCATGTTTTATTAAAATTTATGGCACAATATTGAATTTTTATAGGGAGTCATCCCTCTCCTCCGTGTGAACGATATTTTATGCTGATGAGGTTGGCTTGGGTTGCTGGAGACAGCAGTTGAATTAGCAGACACAAGATTACACACTCAATCTTCCCAGGGTAATACAGAATTATGTACGGGTGGGGTATCTTCATAACTATCACCTCACGCGGTTCACCATGTATTATATTGACATTATGTTACATCTCATCATACTATATTATGTACGGGTGGGGTATCTTCTATACTATCACCTCACATGGTTTACAATGTATTACATTGACACTATGTTACATCTAATCATACATATAATGTACGTACAGGTGGGGTATCTACAACTATTACATTGACATTATGTTACATCTGATCATACATAAACGTGGTTGGATGGGGTATCTTCAATACTTTCACCACACACGGTTGACCATAATTCGTCGGTTTTCACAAAGTGACGGTAGTGAAAAAAAATTGCATTCACTTTGCGTGACGATTTTCCTCACTACCGTCACTTCGTGAGAACAAGGATGATATATAGCATTGATATTATGTTACATCTCATCATACATAAACGTGGCTAGAATCTTTACTTCCACTCCCATCATTATGCAATCTACACAGCTCACTATTAACGCATGTAAACATTTACGCAAAGACTTTGATTCGTAACTCTTTAAATGTTACAAGGCACCGTGCCATCAACTTGAACATTTGATGATGTTACCGAGCTCGTCGAGTCGTACGTCTACAAGATTCCGATTGACAAATCATACTTTGAGACATGGAATCTCATTCAAAATGGTTCATACACCAAGTTGTTTCTACATCTCAATCTCTTGCCGTTACCTTGGTGAATTTCAAAGAATTTTGTTTTGTTTTATTGTTTGTTTTTATTTCGTTGGCGTCGACTATGAGTAATGAGCCCTTTTCACCGTACAGTGTAAAATCGAGACAAACGGCGTTCATGTGGGAGTTCCTTGTCAAATATTCATGTAGCACGCTCATATATTTTTCACAATGATTGCTCCACGAGAAAGGATCACACCTTGGTGGGAAAAAGGCGATAATTTCTCAGGAAACTCCATCCTTCCTCTGTCTCTCTCAAAATTCTTCCACACTGCTACAGTACACACTCTCTCTCATTTTAAAGGCATCCTTTAACAATGTTAAATCTGAGATGCTGGCCCTAAGTGTTACTGTTATCAGTGTCTGTGATATAATATTGAAGCCCTAAAAAAATTGCGCTTCAAAATGATCAAGAAGTGCCTCAAAAAAGTAACAATCTTTGAGTGACTGCTCTTACCATACTCGTTTTCTCCAATAAACTGTAGTGTTTTGAAAACCGTTAGGAAAACGCAAAATTGGTTTTCAATTTCCAATCATAAATATCTTGTCAATCTGACAGGCGATCAGCTAGTAAAAGTCATAGGGTTCCTGACTGACCTAAAGGTTTATAATTATCATTGCAGCATGAGCTAAATCCAGGATTTTGTTTCAGAATCTGAGACAATGTTACCGAGTCACTTTAATATTCAACAGTGCTGCTAATACTTTTTTTACACAACATGCCAATTAAGTATTACAAAAATTGGATGATTTATTTTTAAATATCATGCGATGTTTCTCTTTGTCAGCTGGTGCCTTATTAGCTGTCCAAGGACTGTTTGTTTCAACTCTCATGATTTGTGTATCTTCTACTGACTGTGTGTATGACTATACATGTACGTCCATATCTACTCTAGACTTATAACTCAAAGAAAGCGTTCCAAAATTCCCTCATATAAATCATTTCATTCACCTGTTACAGATATGCCAACCTTTACATTCAGCTTTCAGGGAGGATTCATTCAGAAATCAGGGAGGTTTCTATCAATTGCAAACAGCATAATAGGAATAATCTTTCAAAAAATCAGCAGGGAGGCATTCAAATTTGTGTAGAGTGAAGTATCAAAAAATAAATTCAGGAAGCCTCCCTGAAAAGGCAAATGATATCAAGGTACTTTACAAAGAAGTATGCAACAAATTTGATTCCATTTTGGTTTTAAATGGCCCATTAGATGGATCAATGAAAAGGCAATCCTGAATAGTAAAGGCAGCAAAATAAGTAGGGAAAAAAAGTATATACACAATTTTCCTCTCTTATCTGTACTGATTTAGAAAAACAAATGGTATTTTGATTTTTAAAGTATGTACTGTCTTTCCACACTGACCGTCAAACTGCCTAGAATAACCATCCAATTTTGGGTCACAAGACCCAAATTCTTGCAGGGATATTGGAATCATGATTTGCAATATCCTCCTTTCTCAAATAGACTACCACTGTCTTCATATCCGGATTTTAGATTAAAAAACCGATTCAAAAATTTACATGCACAGCGAGTAACAAAATACCAATAAATTCTAGGTTGGCTTGAATTCAAGATTTTCTGGCGGTATTCAAATCACATAATGAAATCTAAATTAAATTTCTTCTGAAGAAGTGTATATATATATGGACAGGAACATTTACAAAATCTTGTTTTGGTGCACTTTGAGAGAAAGATAAAGAGAGAGAGAGATAAAGAGAGAAAGAGAGAGAGAGATAAAGAGAGAAAGAGAGAAAGAGAAAGAGAGAGAGAATGAGAGAGACAGAGAGAGAAAGAGAGAGAGAAAGATAAAGAGAGAAATAGAAAGCGAGAGAGAGAAAGAGAAAACAATATTATATTACCAATACATGAGTTAGTATTGACTTGTGATATCCTAATTAAATTCAAGTACAGTTTTTCTTCTTGTGAAATTCTATTTTTGATTGACTTTTGCCCCACTTTCCTGAAGAAGAAAAAAATCACATAATTTCTCCATTTCATCATCAATTTTATTACCTCCATAAATTGTATCAAATTAGTCATATCCAGTAATTCTTACAAATGGAGTCATGTACTGTATATTAGCAGTTATTTTTGCAAATCAATCATTAATCGGAAATTTGATAAAACACAAAAAGGATTTCCAGCAAGTGATGTTACACATTGAAATCACTGAAGTAAGAGTCAAGCATTCATATTACATATTTTGAAAAATATTATTTATACTTACACTCAGTTTTAAATGTGAAGTATTCTGTGAGGTGCCGGCACTCATGGTTTCCTCGTAACATGAACAGTGTTTTTGGACACAATATCTTCAAACTCCACAGGTATAGCACACACTGCAGATTGGAAGAAAAAAAGAGAAAATGTCGAATTAATATATCATCCATATTTTCATATAATAAAAGCAGCTAAATCCTTTTCCAGTACTAGATAAACAACTTTCTAAAATAAAATCTACTTGAAATCAACCATCCTTAGATATGACTCGAGGGATAAACACAGGAAACCTCGCAAAAACCTTGCAAAAAGGACATTTTGATGACAAGGTGATCTAGATCTCCCAATGGCTCATTACATGTATTATTTCACACTGCAAAAATAAAAAATTGCAAAATTGCAGAACTGTAGGAATCTTCTAATTTAACAAACATATGTTTTGACCATCCTCTGCCTCATTATTGATTTTTTTCTCACTACAATTCTGTATAACTTTTATATTTTCCATTCCTTTTTTTCTCTAAACCCTGTGGTTATAACATAAAAAGCAACAATCTGCAATCACTTCACGAACCAGTTTCTACTGAATAACAGACAAAAACAATTCATTGATCATTGGTGAATGGTACATTGATTAACATTTGTAAAGAAGTATTCCTTGAATAGGTTAAACAGGTGCAACTTGTTGCATTCTTTCATTCTAAATCTTGATTTCCAATCTCAGCTTCTATCAAACAGTCATGTTACAATAACACAACTCTAAAAACACCTGTTAGCTTGAAGAAGAAAATGAAGAAAAAAAAGAAACAGTTTGATTTCTTGGCCCTTTCCAAGCATCGCGAATCAATCAATTGTCTATTGAATGAGCATGCATATATGCCAACTCTATCAAGATAAGAGTTTTAAGACACAAACTCATCAGATATAGCTCATTTAAATTGTGATTGCAGAATCTTGGATTTTTTTTTTCTTCTTCTGAATGATGTCTTCATTAGGCTTTTGAAGAAGAAAAAATTCTTAAAGTTCAATCTTTGAATGAGAGCCAGAAAATTGTTACATTATGCTCCTTGTAAAGAATCAATTAGTGGCAAAAAAAATGCATGTGCTGCAGGCGAATGAATGAAGATGGAAAAAAGACAGCGATGAAAATGAACTGGGGAGGCAAGGGCATGAGAATTATCGAGACTGAAGTCGCTTGTATGATGCCCGACTGTGTATGGATTTGATGCAAATGTCACTGAATGCAGAGAGACAGGGAATGATGAGATTTCTAACAAGGGTCAACCTTCATCCAACCAACCTACCGAAGAAGAGCCTCCCTCATGAAGAATAGCCTCATGTAGAATTGCCTCGTTCAGATATGGCTCTGCAAAACGGAGTCCGGTTTTTAAAGATGATGTAAAAATGTAATATGCTTCACTTTTCTGCATCTTTTAAAGCCCCACTGCACTACTTATAGCTACTTGCGCCCTCTATATACCAAACAATGCCTAATCGGTGACCATTGGTCCCCCATGATGCTCTTTTTCTAATGTTAATTAAAAGCTGATTTGATAAGATAACCACCTGTCAGTGACTACGCAGGCAGGTCTAATCCCTCCTGGCCAAACTAGTGCAGACAGGCTTCAACACAGAGCTCAGAGAATATGCGCAGGACCTTACTTGTGCACAGTTGCCAATCATATACACCTTTAAGAAAACGTGGCAGATTTTTATTAATGCACTTAACTGCCTCATATTTGAACAAGCTCCATACCAATTTGTATATCACGGGAATCACGAGAAAGGCATATAAATGTAGATATCAACAACAACAAAAGCAAAAGCCTGTTAAAGACACAACTTCATCATTTTGCTTGAAGCTTTCCCATATTTTTTTTTCCTCCTAATATCATAGAACAAATATCCTGCTTTGTAATGAAAAGATGCCCATCTCAAATTTCAAGCTTTTAGCAAGAAGTAAAGAAGCATGAGCACTCTTTCACGTTCTTTCTTGACAGAGTTTGTGGAAAAGAAGGGGATTTCCCAAATGCCATCACAAAAGCAAGACATAAACGAATGACATTGACACACTGGTAACACGAGACCTAGATGGGAATTAAAATGTATGAAAATGTACATTTCCTGCACTGAGATCAAATAACTTTTTGAGTACTGCTCAAGAGAAAAAGATGATTTTCAGCATGAAATTATTTCTCATTGTCAATAAATTTGTTGAAAATACATTAAAGTATGGCTCAGACTGCACTGGAAAGCATCTCATTCATAGTGGCCTGATTCTCTTTGGATAAATCCGGATGCATCTGATGAAACAGCAAATATGAATGGTACAGAGGAGAAAAATCTGATAGAATAGCCGATGAAAAGAAGAGAAATAGGCGATGAAATTCTCCTGCTCAAGAGCAGAAGAAATTCTCTTGCTATCGGTGTGACTACGATGAAACGGCCACTAAGAATGCGTTCGGGAGAAAATGCTGATTAAAACACCGATGAAAATGGTCAAAGGTCGATATCTTGTTCCTGCTAAAGCTAGTGAACGCGCGCTTTTTTGGAGCCCGGATAGCTAGCTGCGCACTGCACTGCCTGCCGATTTATTTTTTTTAAAGCACCAGCAGCTAACAAGCGATTGCGCAATAATTCTTCACTTCCTGCCGGGGCTCGCCACAATGAGTGAATTTCACCAGCAGAATGAAAGTGACAGAAGGGAAAGCGGCATTTTCACCTATGTTACCATAAGGCAAATTCTATCTGTATTTTCATCCGTGTGACTCCGATAGAAGCACTATGAAAGGGGTATAAGGGCGCGTTCATGCTTCACTTTTTCTGGCCAGAATCAGGCATCTGTTACGCGTTTAGTTTAAAACACTGTTGCGTTAATTCTTACTTTTGTAGAATCACCGAAAAACTGCGATCACGATCGCCGATCGTAGACTCACAAAAAGATGCGTTTACAATTTGTAAACGCGTTTAAATGGGGTCAACGTACTGACCTCTAGTGGGTCTACGCATGGACCATGGTCTACATAGCATGCGCATTTCAAGGTTGCGAATCCAGCTGCTAGGCCAATTAAGGCCACCAAGGGAGAATTGCCTGGAGAAGTGAGCATGAACAGTTCACCGTGGAACTGCGATTACGATGAGCGTTTACGATGAGCGTTACAAATCGCTCATTCTACCTTCAAAATCAAGCATGAACGCGCCCTAAGAACATCAGAGCTTACAGGTCCTACTTAATTAAGGCCTTGGACCCCAGATGCAAGAGACTAATGTCATACTCCTTCCAAGCTGCAAGTTTTCATGTTTGAATGTTTTGTTTGTGGACCGCCCTGGGTTTCTAAATAATGTTAGGTAATCATTGACCGTGTAGCAAAGTTCAATCCATAAAGATATTGACAAAAACTAAGAAAGTTTGATGGGAGGGGGGGGGGTACAAAAAAAAAGATTTTATTGCCTTTGGCTTAAGAATAAGTGAAACACTCATGGCCCAATTTCCAAGACTCCCCATGGACTCTGAAAAGAGGTGTAGTGCCTTGACTGGTTGGTGGGGGTGAGGTAGGCCGAGAGGTAAGGAGCCCCCTCCCTCCCCCTCCCTGACTTCCATAGAGAGGTATACCTTCAACTCTTTAACACTAGGTGAGATTACAGATTGAGGGGGTGGGGGCCCTCCAAGCTCTGTGGTGTAGCAGACTTCTCTAAACTAAAATACATACAAGTACAAGATGCATCCATGGCCTCAACTCTGAATGATGGATACAATAATAGGATGGTATGGGGAGGGGGCTGAGCGAGACATTTCGAGAAGGTATTCCCCATGCATCCTCATAATTCATCCTCATAATTCATATACAAGAGGTGTAGACTTGACACAGAATAATGGATGGGCTTAACCGTGGGTGGGTGGGTAGGGGTAAGAGGTTTGGAGAGGGTAGTCCCCATGCACCTCCTATATGGAATAAGTAGTAATTGGAGCGGGTGGTGGGGATCTGGGGAAGGTGGGGTGGGTTTGGGTGCGGGAGGGGAGGGTGAGAGGTCTAGAGAGGGTAGCAGACTCCCTATGCACCCTCTGATACAACAGGTGTAGCCGTGACTCTGAATTATGGAAGGAATTAGTAATGATTGTGTTGGGGTAGGTGGGTGCGAGGTTTGGGGAGAGGTTTCGGGGAGGGGAGAGGGGAGGGGGAGAGGTTTGGGGAGGGGGGTAGCAGACTCCCTGTTCACCCCTCCTACCCAATAGGTACAGCCTTGACTCTGAATAATGGATGCGATTAGTGGTTAGGGGAGAGAGACCTCTGGTGTGCGCTCATGCATTGATCAATCCATCCTAACGCTCACAGCCATACGCTGGCTGGCTGGCTGGCTGGCTGGCATGCAGCCCATGCGAAAGAGTCGACAGGCATAAATTATTCACCTTTGCCTGGCTACAGAAATATTGCTATTTGACCTGTCTATTGAGTATATACTCTACATGTACACACATGCATGGGCAAACAATTCACATCGCTCATTGCTGACATGAATGAAGGCATTTTTGTCTACCTTCTATTAACTGGACTCTTCTTGTATGCCATTTACATACACACACATCTTGGGTAGATGTTAATATAGTCATGTTGGACATTGTTCCATCGTGCATTCTCATGAATTTCTTTTTGAAAGAAAGAATAGTAAGCATTGCTTTACAAAATGAGTATATTGAACTATTCCAAAAGAAATCTGAAGACCTATCTTAATCTATCTTTAACTCTCATGAACATACTTGTTGTCATTTTGATTTCTTACTGAATCTGTCATTTGCATCTGTCATTTGATTTGTTGATTCATGATTATTTTGTTAACTTTAATTTGTTTATTGTTTGTATTTGAAATTTTAGTAGTGAATTTTTGTGTGCACCTTATGCTATATACATCTTAAATTATTATTATCTATTATATAAATTAGAGTGAATTGTGTTGGAATGATACTCTATACTAATTTAAAGCTCAACACTTTTTTTAGTATGTACATAACCTTCTTCAAACTTAAACATTTGATATCCACTCAGGTCATTCCACTCATTAAAAAAACATTTTCTTGGCAAACGTTACAGTATGAATGAATGGATGTTAATATTCTAAGCAA